TGTTGTGTGGTGGAGGTGTGCATATGTCACCGTTGTTCCTCATTTGGTTTCCTGTTCTGGGAAATTGAGAACAGGCAGAGTGGTAAGTGCAGCCACCTGGAGGGGTCTTGGACATCCGGGAAACTGCCAGTTGTTCACTTGGCTAATGCTAGAAGCTGAGGGAGAAAGTGGAAAGACAAGGGAGGAGGAAGTACCTCATGCAGAGGCTCAGTTGCCATTCTGAGGCATTGGCGCTACTTAGAGCTGGAAGGAAACCATAAAGGGGTTCTGGAGGGCCAGGGAGTGCTATGTTCAGATCTGTCTTTTTGAAGAGTAACTTCAGAGTTCCTTCAAGGAGCCCTGCCTGGAGAGACTTGGCTGAAGATAAGAGTCCATTAAGAGCCTGGTGCAGGGCTTGTCAGATAGCTTAGCAGAATAAGGCATCGGCTTAGGCAGAGCACAGCAGCTGGGTTCCATCCTGGCATGCCTTGTGGGCTCTGCCCGCGGGGTGCACATGATTGAGATTGGGTATGGTGGTGCACCCTGTAATCTCAGCGCTTAGGAGGCTGAAAACAGGAAAATCCCTACGAGTCCAATCTACATAGTGAGACCCTGTAGACCCTGTACCAAATACATTATAAAAAAAGTCTGGTGCAGCCAGGTGGCTAAGAGCTCGGCCAAGGAAGTGGAGAAATAGAGGCATTTCAAAGCTGCTGAGGCAGTGGGCTTGCTTGCTTGGGGCACCAAGGGGTGGGAGAGGAGCTAGGTGAGGTCCAGAAAGCGCATCGTCCCTTCTCCAAGGGGAGAGGGTGAGTCTGGCTGGGCAGCGCAGCTGCTCCTCAGGAGCCCAGTGTCTGAGGGCCGCCTGGGCTTCCCATCTGCTGTGGATGCGGCCCCTACAGTCCCAGGGTGAAGCCATCCAGTCCAGCACGCCCAGTGTACAAAGTGGGGAAGAGGAAAAGGATCAGGGCAACGACAACTTCTTACTGGCAGGAAGGTCATGTGGACACGAAGTAGCTACTGTGTCACATTCTCCTGGATACCAGTAATGAGGCTTCCAAACTGGGGTGGCAGTGGGGTGACCGTGTCCTTGGCCAGCTGGACTGCTTTTGGTTTTGCTCTCCTAGAAGGCCTCTTTTATCACTGTGCTTTGTGACTCATCTGGGATGGGTATATAATTTATGTCCCAGCTCAGTGTCACCTATCTCTTTAGAGAGCTTTTGTCTTCCTTCCCAGCATCCATTTTTTCATTGCCTTAATTGTTTCGTCAATAGGACACTTGCTGTCTGCAGTTACCTTCTTGTGTCACCAGTGCATTGGGCTGGCACTTAGGAGGGTGAGAAGGGCCTGACTGACATGTTCACATTGGATCCCTGTTCCACGGAGGAGTATCTGGTTCCATAAATCTTAGAAAGAATCAGTAAATGAATGAGGAATTGAGTGCAGAAGAAGGAACAGGTTTTTTTTTTTTAATTTCTCAGTGTGGGAGGGAAGAAGAATTTAGGATTGGATGTGATGAGTTTTAGGGACTACAGATAGTAATACAGACACGTCCAGTGGGCTGCCATTATGCACACAGTAGGTACAGATTAAACACACAGTAGGTACAGATATGCAGGTGCCAACTGAACATGCAAATGTGAAGCTCAGGAAGAACACCACAGCAGAGTTAGCTAAGGTTTACCGAGCTCTTAACCACCTGCCAGTCCTGTACTGAAACACTTTGATGTTCTTAGGAAAGTGGATCTGTAGATGGATGGGAGAAGTTGAAAATGTTGAGTGGTAATGTCCTGAAGGAATACGTGGGAGAAAAACAGAGACTGAACTCTGGGAACACTTTGCCAATGAGATGGACAGTGAAAGAGGCACTTCTCAGAAGTACCAGGCAGGGAGAGGGGAGGATGGTATTGAGAATCTGGGGAGAGAGTTCAGGAAAAGAGGTTCCAAGAGGTTAGGGAAGTGTTGGTGGACTTCAGCCTCAGAAAAGGAGATGGCTGAGAGCTGTCTGAAGAGAAGCTAGAGAGAGAGGAAGGTTGCAGGCTTGGGAAGTGGAAGTTGCTGGTAGGGAAGGCCCAGTTGAGGGGGGAATCTGAGAGTGTAGCGAAGAGAGGACATGTTTTCTCTGTCATCTTGCTTGTTTGCCCATGAGCCTTTTGAGCCGCCTGTTCTGTAACTGTCCCAGTGGAGAAGAGGCAGCAGAGTCTTGCTGAGTGCTGTGTTGCTTCCAGAGTTCATCTCTTGGCAGCTGAAGGTCCTAGAGCCAGTGGAGCCCTGTGGGCCAAACCGCCGGATGCAGCCACCGTCAACAGTGAGGGCAGAAGTTCTCTGAGAGACTCCCTTTACTGCCGTACTTCTATGAGTCCTTGGCGGTGCATTGTTCTGAGTTGCCCTGGCTTCCTGCGGTTGTTTCCCCTCTTTCTACTAAACCTAGAGTTCTGACTGCATCAGTCATCTCACAAGGAGCCAGATTTCTACTAGTTGAAATGGGTTAGCACTGCCCATTAGCTGCTTATTTAGGAAAACCTAAACCATATACTTTTGTTTGTTTGTTTGTTTGTTTGTGTGTGTGAGGCAGGGTCTAACTTTGTAGTTCAGGCTAGCCTTGAACTCACAGTAGTGCTCCTGTCTCAGCCTCCCAGTGTTGGGATTACAGGTGTGTTCCACCATGTGCAGCTTTCACAATTGTAGCTTACAAATTGAAAGCGTGTCAGTATTCTCTTCTTTTTTTGTGACAAGAATTAGATTTCTGGCTGATGAAATAAGGATACCATTTTTGGAATGTGTTGTCCACGTGTAAAGTGTGCCTTGAACTTCCTAGTATGTGAACTAAAACTTCTTACCTTGCTTGAGATTTTCTATATTTATATCTGGCTTTAATATGCCTAGAGAGTAAAAGCAGATAATAGACTGAAAATAAGTATTTTCCCTCTTTGTTTCTTTTCAAAGGAAGCATTCAACAGACTAAAAAAAAATGAGCCAACTTGTTTATTGAAAAATCATTTCCTATAATTTTTATTGCAGACTCTGGAGCCTAAAATGTCATCTTTTTGGATGATTTGTTTTAAAAAGAGGACAAAGTTATGTTGTTCATGTAGAGATCTATGAAAATTGTTATCTGTAGTTTTTCCTTGTACAAGTAGCCTTGTTCATTAAAGGTAATAGTTCTGCCCTCAGTGAGGAGTAACCGGGCAAAATACCTCGACCAGACAGCTGGGTCCTGTAAAGCAGAGCCCGGGTGTAGGTCTGGACCTGGGAAGGACTGGGTAGGGAAGATGGTGAGATGCGAGGGCGATGTAGAGGGACGCGCTCCCTACAGCCGCTGTGGGCCTCGGATTTCCGGTAATGCCACGGGGTGATGTGCGTGCTACAGAGGGCCATGGTCAGCTCCGCTGGGCACAACCCTTCTGGTAGTTTTTAGCTTTTTGTTGTCAGGACTTCTTTATAGTCTTAAAATTTTTAGAGTTCTCCAGAGACCTCTGTATGCACTGTGTTGATCAATATTGACTGCCTTTTTTTTTTTTAAATGTATTTAATACAGGGTCTACAGGGTCTCACTACACAGATGGGACTTGTAGTGATCCTTCCTGCTTTTCAGCCTCTTAAGCCCTGGGATTATAGGCACATACCATCACGCCCTGTTGACTGCTTTTCAAATGAGAACTAGCAACATTTAAAGTATGAATTCACTGGGAATACTAATGATGAATTTATTAGTTCCTATTTAAATTGCATCCTTTTATGAAAGTGACTATAGTTTTTAAAAAACTAGTGAGAAAAATGTCATTGCTGTGTGTTTTTGTCAAGTCTCTTGAGTGTCTGGCTTCATTGAAGGCAACTAGGGTTTCACATTGTTTTCTATATTCAGCCTGTTATTTGAAATACTTGACTATAGGTCATGAGAGGTTGAGAATGAAAAGACAACTTAAATTTTGATAGCATTAAGAAAATAATTTTGGGTTCATGGAGTGCTGAGAAGATTTCAGGAAGTTCCTGGGATCTACCTGGACCACACTTTGAGAACCCTGGACCAAACTGTACGTTTCTCGAGGGCGGGGACTGCTGTGTTGGGTGCTGGTCTTCTCTCCAGGCTGGGTACATTGGTCTGGAGGGTGCCTCCTTGACTCTGTGTGGGGGTCCCCTTTCCCTGTACTGTTCCCCAGGTGGAAGTCCCCCGGGCCCGGGCTGCAGCTCCTTGCCCCGCTGCCTGCCCCTCAGTTAGTCATGCGGTAGGAATCCTCTGCCGCTTGGACTCAGTGCCGCGGAGGCGCCACTGGGCTCTTCCCATGGTGCCCGGTGACATTGCAGACCGGTTACAAATCAAGATAAGTAGTTTAGGAAAAAACACTCTTTTTTTCAGTACAATGAATTCTAGGAAGTCTTGGAGGTTGCTGGGAGAAAGAAGCTAGAATTGCTTCCTGGAAATGGAGTGGAGAGTCTACAGAAGTTTTGGGGGCTCATCTGGTGACTTGGATCCGCTCCTGCTGAGGGAGCCCGTGCTGTCCTCCAGGTCACACAGGTTCCGGGAGAGTGAGCGGAAGGCAGTACTTGGGTGTCCAAAGGGACAGCATTTTCATTTGCCAAGGGTTAGGTTAAAGTTCTCCAGACAGCCCCAGGATGTATACAAACATAGGCTGAAAATATGCATATTGGTAGTGGTAACTTTTTAGACTCTTGATGAAATGTAAGTACTATTTTGAAAATTATATGGTGAATTTTGTCTGAAATGGTGATGTCTACAAATGACAGCATTTGCATTGGAACAAATTTATTTATCAGTTCCATCAGGAAAAAGCTTCATAAATGTAGCATAAAAGCACTGACTTCTGTGTTTGATTTGCAAAGGAATGGAAACGAGAGCGCCGTGGAGACAGCACGAGTGTGTCTGCTTTCTCTGAGGGGGGAGTGACCTTTCCTAACTGCTTGTCCCTTGGGCACGCGAGTCATTGTGGTACACTCTTACTAACAGTCTTCAAATTTCTCTCTCTGTCCTTCTTGGCTGGGCCGTGCCTTGCTGCCTGTAGCGCTTCAGCATGGAAGGGATCTCAAATGTCATTCAGAATGGCCTCCGCCACACCTTTGGAAATTCAGGTGGAGAGAAACAGGTGCCTAGTTATCCTTATTTTCCTCATTCTCTGCTTTTTGCATTTTTCTGTGTAAGTGAAGATCCTAGAAGCTTTACTAATGTACTAAGATCCTGGAAGTTTTACAAAAAACGCTGCTTGAAAGGTTATTACCTGGCTGTATAGCCTTGGTGCTGAACAGAGTGTCTCTTTGGGGAGAAACATTTTCCAAATTGGATAGAAGGCTAAGAAGTAGACACGTTTCAGAGCTCCACTTCTCACTCCTGCCTTTAAACAAGTAGGCGTTAACATACTAACACAATAGATTGCATGTGTAGAAAAATCTATGTGTCACAATAACCAGACTATACTACTATAGTTCTAAAAATCTGGGAAACAGGATCTCATTTTGGGAAGAAGAAAGCTAGATGTTGGTATCTTTGACAGTAGAGTTTCAGGTGAAAAATGTGTAAGGAATATATTTTAACTTCCATTAGGTGAAAAAAAAATTTTTTTTTTTTAGGGATTGAACCTAGGGCTTTCACACTGAGCTACATGCCCATCAGTTTTTAAATTTTGGAGACAGGCTCTTATTAAGTCATCAAGGTTGCCAGGCTAGATGTGAGCTTTGGATCTTCCTGCCTCAGTCTCTCAGAGTGCTGAGGTTATAGGCATGTGCCATCATGCCAGCTTAGTTCATGTGCTTTTCAAGTGCATTATGAAGTCATCCAAGTCACTTGTCTACCAAGTAAGCATAAGACAGCGTTTAAAGGAAGTTATACGTAGTATGACTATATAGTGAGATGTGTAGCAGTTGATTTAATTTACGTTTTTGTGCGGTGATTAAAGTGTTATCATGGATGTGGGCAACAGCTACACTAATGAAGGTGATTAAAATTACCTCTCACCATTTGAAGTTTAACCTCACAACTCTTCAAGTGGAGATTAAGAAGGGTTACAGGTTGTAGCTCTTTGGTAGTTGAATCCAATCCCTAGAGTTTCTGCTGAAGGTTCTATGTGACCCTGAAAGGGAGCAGTTGATATTAAAGAGGTCAGACTCACAATTTATAAAGGGGGCCTATGAAGGGATGGATGTATTTTAATTTTTAATCTAGTACAACTCACCCACCTCTCAACCCACAAGGTAGAAAAATAACTTCTCAACCTACCCTGTGCTCTAGGTGGGAAGTATTGAGGTGTGGATTCTGGGTGCTTCTCCAAGGGGCACAAGTAGAGCCCCTGCAGGGCATCTATCTGTCCAGATTTCGGGGATATTCCTTACAAAGAAACCTAACTGGTTATACACTTGGCCCTTGCTTCGGAGAAGTCTGTTCCAGAAAGATAGTGGGACACTTAAGTACCTTAAGGTGGGACAATTCACTTTTACTACTTTTTTGAACCTAAGAGTTCAGTTTTTATTAAGCAATCTCTGTTACTTTGTTTTTCAGTTAGGACTGGGGTTAGGAACAGAGCAGAGGGCTAGTGCATGGGACCCAGGGTGGGCCGGGCTGAGGAGATTCTAAGTGCAGAGCTTGCTCCAGTGCGGTGTGCCCATGGCTCTCAGCTGTGTTTTGTGGTGAGGCAGTGAGAACAGGAGAGTCTGGACAGTAAGTTTTGGGTTCTGCTTTCATGTGATATAGTTGTAGGACAAGCCTACTGCTTGTGGACCTTTACAAATGGGGAACTAGGCAGTTTGTCTCGATTTGAATCATTAATTTTTACTGCTCATTCCCTTTTTAGGCCATTTTCTCCTGTTAACTTTTCTCATTTCCTTTAATTTCTAAAAACACTTATAAACAATTACACAGTAATTTAAAATAGTAACACTCATGTGCTTCTGAAATTATTTGGGTGTGTCTCTGTTAGCTTATGAAGAACCTGTTGCATGTTATCTGTATTGACTATTTTGTTCAGCCAGAATAAGAATGGTTTTGAAAAAGAATTATTTGGTTGTTGGAAATTATTTTTTTTTGTATGTGCTAGCAATTTAAATTGTGTTTTTAGTTTAATTACAGTTTTTAAAATGTGTCAAAAGCATACAAGGAGACTGAGGAGACAGCTCAGTGGCCTAAGTGCCTGCCCGGCAAGAGCAAGGACCTGAGTTTGATCCCTGGTATTGCATCCTGTGCTGGTTTTGGAACCCTGGGCATGCTGTACCTGCCCCGAAACCAGGTGTGGCAGTGCACGCCTGTAATCCCATCACTGGGGAGGCTGAGACAGGAGGATCACTACGAGTCTGAGCTGCGTAGCGAGACCCTGTGTCAAATCAATCAATCAGTCAATCAATCATACAAGGAGAATGTTAAGACTAAAAATGGACAAATTTAGCAAATCCTCCTCAGATCTAATCCTGTGAAATTTTGAATAACTCAAATGCAAAAAGGTGGTTCCTTATGTGGACACAAAGTTTGTATGAAGCGAATAGGTGAGCAGAAGAGGCTATTCAGCTCTGCGCGGTCCTTGCCTGTGTTCTCATTACCAAAGCAGTCCGTGTTTCTTGTGGTAAAGTAGACCTTGTAGTCACTGTATCATCTTTTTTGCAGATAAGTTAACTCAGATTTAAATGACACTTTTTTTTTTAACTTGGCAGTATTTGACAACAGTCATTCCTTATGAGAAAAAAAATGGACCACCATCTGTTGAAGATCTTCAGATATTAACAAAAAGTGAGCAAAGACAAAATTCAACTGCTACCTGATTTGCTTTTGCAGGCTCTTAAATCCTTCATTTTCGCTTGCTATCCACTCGGCTTGTTTTGTCAGTATTGGACAGTAATGATGGATGTCATTTTTTTTTTTTTAAATTTATTTATTTATTTGTGTGTGTGTGTGTGTGTGTGTGTGTGTGGCCAGCTCAGCCCACCAGGGGGCGGGGCTGGCTGGCATGTGGTGCTGGGGGATTGAACTGTGGTCCCTGTGCTTTGCTAAGCTTGTTCTAAGTAGGTGCTTTAGACCACTGAGCCATCTCACCAGCCCCAATGGATGTCATTTTTAGTAGAATGAAACAAGAAAGGATCAGAACTTCAAGCACAGCACTAAAGCTAGTGTCCAATTCACAATTTTTCTGTTTTCCTTATTTTTTGAAATGTTTATGAGGTAAAGGTTTGGGAAGAAATGTAACTTGAATCTCTAGCAACATGCCTTGTGTACCTCATGCAGCTGGGGCTGCCAGTAACTGATTAGGAGTGATTTAGGAAAAGCATTCTCCTTTCTTACGAATATAGAGCCCCAAGGTGGTAAAAGTTACAGGCAGAATATAAATTGACGGTGACATTTTAAGAACACGCATTCATTCTGCAAGTATTTGGTGAAGGCCTGCTCTCTGCCATTTTCTTAGCACTTGGGATACTTTAGTGACTAAAGGTGCTTCACTTTCCAGGCACCTGCATTTTAATATAATTCAAGAGATTTAAATACATATTATGTTGGGTATATTGAAGGATCATGGTAAATGAGAATAAAATTCTGGTTGTATCCCTGTTATTTTCAGGGCTTCTTCTAGTAGTCACTTAATCTCTCTTCGTCCCATTGAAAAATCAATATAAAAACATCGGTCAGTTTACCTCACAGTAAATGAACTCTGTATGATGTGGAGTAATTCATAGCCCTTAAAATGAAGGGACTGAATTTGCTGATTATCTAAGTTCCTTCTAATTGTAAATGTGACAGTTGTTCATTAGGAGAGACCCAGGTGAGCGCACATCTTACGGATGGAATTCATGATTGATAGACATGGGGGGTGAAGAAGTGGGCGGAGGGTTGCACCCACCACCCGCCTGCCTGTGAGCATTAAGCGTTTATTCTGGTGAATAGTACTTTACAAAAACACTCTATGTGTTGATAAATCAAGGGACACCAGCCAGTCCAAGTTAAAGTATCAAGCCAGCCCCTTAATTTTCAGGAAGAGCTTGTCTAAGGTCACATGGAGGATGGCTAACTATGGGGCTAGGTGTCTGGCAGTTCTGCTTTTATAATGCTAGTTTTTGATCGGTGGTTTTCAAATAGACGTTAAAACACTGTAAAACATAATTAATAATGAAAGTACTGAACATAAGAGTCCTCCAGGGAAGGGAGCATAAGTATTGCTCAGAGGCCAGGAATTACTGAGAGGCCAAACCAAAGTCATCGCAGTCCCATCATCAGAATGTCCTGTGGGCAGTTCTCAGATGATGTCCTCCCCCTAGGCTGACACAATTGGAACTTTTGGAATCCTTGGTGAGGGAAGGTCAAAGTTAAGACTGTTACAGGAGGGTATTGTGAAGACATCAGAGGGAAAGATGGCCTTCACTTTGAAAGTGAAAGTAATGGTTAACTCTTGAAAAGTTTGGAGAGGGCTTGAACCCCTTCTGCCACCATATGTAGATGAAGCTCAGATGCCCTTTGGAGACAGCAGGGCTCATAGGTGTGCAAAAGCTCATAGGAGGTCACAGATGCACTGATAATAGTAATAATGAGAATTATATTTGTGCTGTTCATGATGATTAATACTAGATACTCTTGGGGGTCTGCATGTCTGTAATTTAATCTTCATGATAAGGCCCTGAGATCCAGTTGTTTTCCTCATCTTATAGATGAGGACCTTGATGCACAGAGCAGTTAGGTCACAGAAGTCAGGCAGTAGTAGGGCCAGAGCCTGAGCCTAGGAAAGCTGCCTGGATAGTTACACTGTGCTCCTTGTTGTCAGGAAAGTAGTGGGCTATTTTCAGCAGGATATTCTGGAGGAAGTCTGAATGGGCAGTCACTGTGCAATACTTGGTTGTGTGAGCTCGCTTCAGCAGCATGTACACTAACTACTTGTTTGTGAGTTTATCTTTACCTAAATGGCTGGGATTAAAAACCCAAAAGCAAAACATGCTGAGTGGCTGCTTTTTTCAGTTTTGGTCTTTATTGAGAGGACAAACTTGTCAGGCTAGCATGTAGTACAGCAGAACACTTGCCTGGCACGTGTGAAACTTTGGCTTTGATCTGTAGCACCACCAAAACATGATAAAACACAACAACACAATAGAACACAACACAGTGCAGCACAACAACACAGTGCCACACAACACAGTCGAGTCAGGCTCCCAACTCTCAGTTTCTGTAGCTCGCAGGACAGACAGTGCCCAGGTCCTCCTGATCCACGTTAAAGCGTACTGTAGTAATTCACTGTCTAGCATTTCTTCTGATGAACTGGAGGTGTATAAATAGCCCAGTTTCTTTTTTCTCCCACCAGTGTTTTGACATTTTGAATCAGGGAAGTAACTTTCCAGAGTTCTTAAGTTTGTTCAGCCTTTTGTATTTTCTTCCCAGAAAATAACCTTTTATTTGTTTGATTCATGTAATATTAAGACAACAGTATTTGAAATTAAGTATTACCTTTGATCTGAGTTTTAAATTGTTCTCCCTCCTTTTGTCTTTATTTTGCAGTTCTTCTTGCCATGAAGGATGATAGTGAGAAAGTTCCGAGTTTATTAACCGACTATATACTGAAAGGTGAGTGTTAAAGGGGCGTGTATACAGTGGCTGGGGAGTTTTGGGTAGTCAGTGATGTGCATCACCTGGTTAAGAGTCGAAGTAATTTCTAAATGCATAATGTGACTAATCTTACTGTGTGGAGTGAGGATAAGTAGGTGAGTGGCATATGCTGTGAGCAGGAGGATTAGAGAGAATTTAACTCACATGAGGTCCTGGGCTGCTAATACGTGCCGCAGCTGAATTGTGAACACAGAGGGAATAAAAGGTCATTAGTAAGACACTAGCATAGTTATGTGGGTCTCAGTGTAGACATGTGGCCCCCGGGTGGCCTGAGGAGTGGTTTCTGTTGTCATGGGCATGGCAGAATAGGACAGATCATCAGTGGGGCAGATAGAGGAAATGGTCAACTAGTTACCAGTTTCAAAGGGGACACAAAAGAGACTGGTGTCGGGGCCGAGGGGGAGGAGAGAATGAACAGGAAGACTTTCAGGCACTGGATGGTGAAAGATGGGTCATCAGTGTTAGGAGCAAGATCAGGGTCACCCAAGAGGGCTGGGGAGATAGCGCGGCAGTCTAAGCTTCTGCCTGGCAAGTGCAAGGACCTGGGTTCAATCCCTAGTACTGCATGTTGTGCCGGCCCCAGAACCCCAGGGGTTCTATGTTAGCTACCAAAACTAGGCATGGTGCACACCTGAAGTCCTAGCACTGGGGAAACCGAGACAGGAGGGTCACTGTGAGTCCAAGCTGCATAGGGAGACCCTGTACCAAATAAATGAATGAATGAATGAATGATTAAAATTTTTTTTAAAAAAATGGTCACACAAGATGGGAACCCTAGAGGCAGAGGCAGTTGAGGAGTTGAGGAGGTCGCTGCTAAAAGTGTGATCGAAAGTGGGCCAAAGGCAAGCAAATACTTTTCAATGAAATTTTTTCTTAAAAAGCAGTGATTCAGTGTAGCAGATTGTGCAGGCATCCCAGAGCGCATCTGTAGTGCTCAGCCTTCTTCGAGCGCTGCCCCCTTCTGGGAACAGTGTTCTCTGGATTCTAAGGAAGGTTAGGACTTGTTTGGAGAATTTCAGTATCTGTGATGCACCTTTTCTTCACCCACAGCTTTGTAAAAAAGGAAGGGGCTTGAAGTGACTAGGGCATGAGTACAGTTATGAGCCTGGATGGAAACTAAAAACTCAAGTCAGCTCTTAGTGAGGTTAACCTGGGTAGGAGACAGTGTGAGCACTGCTTTTCTGATGGGTGGCTTTTCTCCCTGTTAAATTCTGAGTTTTTTGTTAAATACCTGACGTCTTCATTTGCTTTTTGTGTTTTGCTAGCATTGGTATGAAAGCTGGATTGCTCTGAGGTTTGTTCTTCTAGATGTGGAACAAGAATGAGACAAACATAAAGGACATGTCTTAGTTTTCAGTTACAGTGGAATCCCTAGAGCGCTGCCAGGTCCAGAGAGTGTGCTTGGGGAGAATTCTCCGGCTCTCTTAACAGTTGTCTGTGTGCAGCGATGGTAGTTCCCTGAGACACAGTGCTGGGTGGGGGCGGGGGTGGGGTGGGGATTTTTAATTCTTAACTCTGAAAACCTAGGACTGTAACTGTGACCCCATCCCGCATGCCTCCTCAGGGAGGCAGCACCTGGCTCGTTCTGCTCGGGTTCAGCTGCTGGCTCCTGTCTGACCCAGTTCCATCTCTCCTGTCTCTGCTTCCTATGAGCTGTTGCTGTGCACATGTGACGCTTTTGTCCTGGGTTTGTGTCATGAGGACCAGGTGGAAAGGACGCTGGACTCACTCGGGCAGTGACTGCAGTCTGGAAGATGCAAAGGCTGTTGGGTCTGGGTGGGCGGGTCTGATGCAGGGAAATTTAAAATGCTCTTTTCCACCTACTCTAGAAATGCACAACCTGTCAACTGTCTCTCTTCCTTGTGGACAGGAGGACACTCCCCGGGAAAGGGGTTTTAGGGGAGAATACTCCTTCCTCTCGTTTGGCTGGTCTCTGTCAATCCAATACAGATGTGTGGCTTGGCTGTCTAAATGTAATATAGTAGCTTAGTTTTTTTTTTTTTTTTTTTTTTAAATGCAATGTCAAAATATACCGTGTGAATTATAAATTGGTACCAAATGTGGAGATTTATTATTTCATTTTTGCTTTCTTTTTTTTTTTTTTTTTTTTTTAAATGCAATGTCAGAAGTGAAAGAAGGTGAAGTGCTCTCATTTGGCCGAGGAAAGTAGGGTGGGTGTTGTGTGGGCTAATTCAGTGCTGCCTCCTCACACCGGCCTAAATGGCCCCTTGCAGCTTGCTGCTCCTGCCCCCATCTTTGGCCATTACGCCAAAGCCCAGAAATGTACGTACGGCTGCTTCTGTGCTGACCCTAGGTCAGAGAAAAAGCTGTGCGCACAATCTCTCACCCTTCTTTGACTTCGGGAGGGAGCCAGTGTGCTGTGTCATAGACCTTGTGGTACCGGGCTAAAGTTACGGGCTTGTCGGTCTCTAAGTGATACCTATGGACACGGCCTTGGAGTGTCTCATTTCTGGCGGGTGCTGACATGTCTTGAGCATACTTCTCCTTGTTGGGTGTAGCCTCTTATGACACTTAGAAACTTGACTGTTACAGCACCTTGCCTTAACCTTTAGTTCTCATCACTGAAGGTCCCCGCTTTTTATATACATACAAAATGTATATAAGGTAAATATTTGATGTACGTGCACACAAGATACATTCCTTCCTAAAGTTTCCTTTTTTCTTCTAGTTCTGTGTCCAACCTAGAGAAGCATTACTTGAGGAACAGCTTTATCTCCTACGGACTACAGATTTATTTCCTGTAACATCATTCTGAAAGCTGGCCACCATGTCCTTCCTGCTGTTGGAAACCAGCACCCTTGAACTTGGGTTTGTGATGCAGTATTAATAGATCATGACTTCGCTAATGCTTTGTTTAGAGAGCCTGGAGAACTATGGCATTCAAGTCCTAGAATGGTTTTTGGTAAATCTACTAATTATGGACTGCTCTCTGAATAGAGAGTGTAATATTACTTGGGCATGTGCAGTTACAGTTTTCTAGTATGCCCCTTTGAGTTTCTATGGCTTTGTACTTTTTTTTTTGAGACAAAATCTCACTATGCAGCTTGGGCTGGCCTAGTGCTCACTTTTGTAGCCCCCAGGCTGGTCTCGAACTTGGCGAGATCCTCCTGGCTCAACCTCCTGAGTGCTGGGATTACAGGCGTGTGCCATCCTGCCCAGTTCTGGGCCGCATTGGTGGGTGTCTGTGGCTTTCTACTTCTAAATTGCACTGAACAACTTGCGTGAAGCTTTGAGAGATTTATATCGTAGGTACTCTTCAGTGATGGTAATAACACGCTGATTTTTCTAAGACAATTGCCAGTCTAAGTATTACCTACCAGTATTGTCCAGAGACCAAAACTTAGTGAAAATCTGGTGAAGATGCCGCACCAGAAGAAGCATTACTTTGGCTTTCTGGTGCGCACCAACCTTGGCGGAGGACGGATCTCGCAGCCTGCGGCTTGCTTCCGTACTATTCACACTTCCGCCGCGAGGTGGCCACTGTCAAGACACTTGGCTTCGGCTTCTGTCGGTGTTCTGCGCGTGTGTGACGAAGTGTACTTGAAAAGGAGCTCGTATCCTTCATGGTGCTTAAGAAGCTAGGCGGCAGCACTGCCCCTGTACAGCCCCGCGGGGGTTCCGCTTTTGTCCCTGTGTATTTCCGTTTCCCCTTCTTCCCTGTAGGAGTAACTCTAGGCACAGCTACTCACAGACATATCATGAACCATGTTGCCAGTTTCGATCAAGTTGATGGTATTTAATAAATGTAAAAATAATACACTCTTCAGAGCCTTCAGTTTGTTTCTTGCCCCTTTGTGGCTCTATACTGTTGCACTTAATACCACAGCGTCTGTCACTGAAGTATGAGCTAGAGAGGCCTGGCTTAGCCCCTCAGTGCCAAAGAGGGATTCTCCATCCTGCTGAGCTGCTGGGGAATGACAAACATCCTGCTTTTCCTGGGGCTTTGAGAGTCCCCACCGTGGTGGCACCATCCTCATTGACTTGAGTGTGTGAGGAGGCTACACGGGACACCTGCATCAGGGGACTCTGAGGGTTCCTCACTCACCGAGCGCCTTGACAGAGAAGCAGGCGGCCGTTCAGTGCTGTGCTCAGGTGGCATTTCAGCTGTCTAAGGGTTCGTGCAATTTGAAATGGTTTCCTTGTCTTTATTAGTCTTAGGTGATAGTGAATATGTGGAATTTGTCACTTCCCCTTGAATTCATGAGGATGTATACTTACACGCTATTTATAGTTTAAATAAATTTGATATGAATTTGTAAAAAATAGGCCTTGTATGAGAAATGTAGCTTTAAAAGATAAACAGTACAATGAAAAGTCCTTGGGAAATGTTTCCTGAAGAGATTCAATGGTAGCCTGTTTAGTTCACTCTACAGTTGAGGCACCAGAAGTGTGAGAACAGGTTTACTTTTCCCTGCCTGCTCAAAGTCCCCTTGTAATTACTGATCCACTGATTGTGTTTGATAAACACTTCTTCAGTAATAAGTGGCTGTAGGTGTTCCCGTCACACTCCTTTTCCTGAACATTTGAGACAGGCTGTCTGTAACCTGAAAGCCAAATCCAAAAGGCTTCAGTATCTCAGGGTGTTTAAGCACCAACATGTGCTACAAATGGAAAATTCCATACTTCACTTTAGGTGACAGGTCACAGCAAAAACACAGTACCACCAATAGTACTGTATGAATTACCACAGGGTTATGTGTAGAAGGTGCGTATGAAACCAGAGTACATTTGGGTTTATATTTGGGTCCCGCTCCCAACATACCACTACGTGTATGCTAAACTATTCCAGAAAGATCTCGGAACACAGGTAGAGCAGATTCGACCTGGCTTCAGGGTGCACGCATTTCTCCCTCTGGCCCTACGGTAGGTGGGTTCTGTCCCGGGGCCCTGTACTCAGGCACTGTTCTGACAAGGGCTTCTTGGGAAACGCACCTGCTGAGGAGGACATGGTGCTGTGACACTGAAGGTGTGCTGGACTGAGTCTCAAAAGTACCATTTGTCTTTCTGATCCTAGGGAAGGAGTCTTAGAAAGTTCCACATGATTTTGACTGTTTATTTGCTGCCAACAATCAAGTTGCAAATCTTTTCCTTTTTTTTTTTTTTTCTAAAATTTTTATTTATTTATTTATTTAGTGTGTGTGTGTGTCTGTGTGTGTGTGTGTGGCCAGCTCAGCCCACCAGGGGGCAGGGCGGGCTGGCATGTGGTGCTGGGGGATTGAACCGCGGTCCCTGTTGCCAAGCTTGTTCTAAGTAGGTGCCTTAGACCACTGAGCCATCTCTCCAGCCCCTCTTTTCCTTTTTGAAGAAAACAAAAACAAACTAGAACTACAGTGCACTCCAAGTGCCATATATCTATTTTATTCTTCAGGAAATTATATTTGTTTTTGTTTTACAAGAGCACAACAGGAACCAAAGTAAAAGAGTAATAGATACAGCACTCAGGATAAATCATATCTTTAAAATAATAGAAAAATTTACACCTTGTCCTATATCCTGTTAGTATTTTCATATGGCCATGATTGAAAAAACAAAAAGCAAGCATTTACAATTTTTTTGGATAAAGACTTTTTGTGCCAGGAATGGATTAATTGTCAACAAAATTTTATACTAATCAGACTGATAGAAATCTATTTTGGTAACATATTATTAACAAATTTATTTTGGAAACAAAAATATTGCCCCTAGTTAATAAATCTTTTTGTTCCTCTGATGCAAACAGCTACAACACCTTTTTTTCATTTTTCTTTTTGATATTCTAAGACAAAAAAATGGTTAATCTTCAGATTAATAAATTAGGTCATTATAATAATAAATTAATTTTTTTTAAAGTTCAGCAACCTCTGTCCAAGTATTTACAACAATACTTGAAAGTTCCTTTACAAAACAGAACACATTTTCTTTTCACATTAAGCATACTGGGTATCTGTGTCTTTTACAACAAGCATTTTTAAAAGAAAAATCAATGCACAAATGGGTCATTAGTATAAAAGTGCTAAGAGCTGTTTGAAAAGTTAACACCGTAGTATACAGTCCTATCTGAGGCAAACTACAACAAGCTTCCCGCTTATTGTGGACAATATTCCAGTAGTTGTTTCAAACAGTTGTTTGAAAAGAAAAAAAAAAAATCCAGGAGCTGATTAGTGACGCAGGTAAAAACTGCCATCAATATCTCTGGCTGGTGAGCAAATTGAAAACCAACTGAAAGCAAATCCGAATGAAGAAGACTGCAATAAAGGAGTATCTTCTCCACAGCAGGTGTGATGCTGGCTGCTCAAGGTGCGCGCACACACACACTCACACTCACACAAACATCTTCCCAATTAAACTGCAGGTAGAATGAGATTTTTGTGTTACTCAAAAAACATCTGTAAGTGATCAAAAGCATTAATATGGAATGCCTGTTTAATCTGCCTTTGTTCTGGTTAAAATCTCATAAAAATACATTCAACAGGAAAACATAAATTGTATGTGTATAAATATATATGCAGCATATATATATTATATACACATGCACACAAATACTTTTGTTTTTTGAAGCTTAAGATAGTTACATAAATATTCCTATAATTGCTAGTTTAAAGAGGCATAATTTTTTTGAGCTTCAACAAAGGTGCTTGAATAATATACAATTAAAATGAAGTAGTTTCTATTTTGTAGAATCATTCTATAATAAGGAAAAAAAAATCCCCAAATAGTCTTTTTTAAAAAAAGTTTCTTAAGCTAGAGCTTTGACAAGAACTATGAACAACCAACAACAGAACAGAACAAAGCAACAACGAACAATGAGGTTTAGCCCCTGGAAATGCCTGGTGTCCTGTACCCGCTCCTCCTTCCTGCCACGCTGCTGTAAGAAAAGCTCCAGTGCTCACACCAAGAAATGACTTAGGTCTCGTTCATTTGCTGTCTCCTAGGAACTGGCTGATTGGCTTGGAAGAAAACAAAAGCAGCAAAAAAGTCTAACTGTATATATCCTCAGTAACCCGCTTCAGAGCCATGTTGCTAGCTCGCATTTCCCTGGCTCGCTCACTGCCTACTGCAGCTGTGACTATAGAAAAGAGACCTGTGGCTTTAGACCTGGGATGGCTATCAAGAGTTTGACGCACTCGTCTGGTGGTGCTAAGGTGGTTATGGCAGCTGGGTCGCAAGGCCTTTTCTGTTTCCTGCTCATTCTGGCCTGGGCTTTGTAGCAACTGCAGTCTTCAGGGCAACAGGAACAATGCCTCTGTGGGCCACTGAGCTGCTTCTGTTCTACCGGGTTTCTCCTCGAGCCAAGCTGACCAATTTTTCTTCCCAACACCCCCCACCCATTTCCCCAACCAAACTCACTGTCCCCACCCCCAAGAATCTCTACAGCTATATTACAAGCACATAAACCTTAGCAACTTTAAAAACTTTGGTTCTAAGAAACACTTGGTCAGTTACCTTGAGGAGAAGTGGGAATGCTTGTCCTGCACACTGCTGCAGGCAGAGCCCATCCCAGTCAGTTCTTAGCGCTGTACATTGAGTCACAACCCAATCCAATCCACTAAGCAAGTGCACAAGTCCTAGTTTAAAAGCAGATTTGTTGATTTCTGTCTTTTAAAACCTCAACCATGTTGACTTTCTTCACACAGTTTGGTAGAAATTGTCTGCCTGTAGATGATTCTGTTTTTGCATGCTGTAGAAGCCGCTGAATCTTGCATCGGGTTCAGCAATTCTTAGCATTCTCTGGGAACTGTCTACCTGGACATGGGTTCCTTTCTTGCAGTCCACAGATACCAACTGGTTATTCAAGGAAGAAGGCTATTTAGTGAGATGAAAAAAAAAAAAAAAAAAAACAAACCCACAGAGAATTAGTTGTCTTAAATTCCTCAAATGTACACATGTGTAAGACCTAACCAGGTAAGATAGCAGCTGCACAGTTCCCTGAGGGTCAGGGTGCCTGTTGGGGGTCGCATCTTACTATAGCTCCCCTAAGCCTCTACTGGTGAAGCAGTAACATAAGTAACTTCAAACCCTTGAAGCACAGGCTTACATCTAAGGGTGCTGGAAACCCAAAGGAAGGTGCCAAGCAGGCAGACTGAACACGAAGCCCTACCCTGTAAGGCTCAGGCCCCATCCCGGCTGGTGCAGGCCGCATCTGTAGAGGTGGGCCCCTTGTCCCGGCTTCTGATAGTGGCATCTGCACTGCGCAGCAGTCACCCAGCCCAGCCTGAGCCCACAACAGAGGATGGGCTCCATGTAGAACCGATCCGCGGCAGGAGAACTACCTGACAGAAACCTTGTATGGAAGAGTTCACAGATGCTAAGTTGGGTAAAATACTCAGGTTTCTAATTCTTAAAGTTGTATGATACTTATTTTATTTTTTTGGTGGAACCAGGAGTTGAACTCATGCCCTTGTGCTTGCCAGGCAAGTGCTTATTCTACTGAGCCATCTCCTCAGCCCTGTATGATTTTTAGAAATACAAAAGGATACTGGAATATTTTGCTGAATTCACATACCTACAATATTTAAATGGCAATGGAATACCCATCCCTGACAAAACTAAGCAAAAAAGGGGGATACAAATGAAGGATCATTTTGTATCTGAGTATTCAAAATAGGATAGATATATAGCTACTTTCTCTTAATTCGATGAATAGAAAGATTTGTACCAATAGTGTTTGTGGGCAGGATATCATGTCTGCATCTTGTACTATGAATAACCACTAAGACAACAATATGCAATGTATTAAATATTGAAACTATCCTACTAAACTGTCTCATTGCTATTTCTCAATAAAATTATTTTTAAAAATATAAAAGGGAGGCCGGGGAGATGGCTCAGTAGAATAAGCGCTTCCCTGCAAGCGCAAGGGTCTGAGTTCAATCCCCGGTTCTGCCAAATTAAAAAAATAAAAAAGTTGCCGTGCCGGCCCCGTCCCCAGGGCTCACTGAGGCGGTGTGCGCCTATAATCCCAGCTCTTGGGAGGCTGTAAAAAAATAAAAAAAAAATAAAAAAAAATAAAAGGTAGAGTTGTAAGAAATTAGGACTTTTTCCTTAATTAATACAGTTTTATCCCTTTAACACAGGCAGACTCAGAGGCCTTTGCATTTTTATTCACACACAGACACCTCTTCTCTGTGACCAGGAGTCTGCTGCTCCTGTGGTGGTCGCCTGCAGCCTCGTCTCCGGTGCTGCCTCTCCCTCTGACACATTTACCTCTCCTGGGGCTTCTGCGCATGCTCAGCATCCCCAAGCACTCTTACTGCCCTTTCCTCAGGATTCACTCTCTCTCTGATTTCTTTCCTCACCCAACTCTGCATTAATAATCGAAGAATGTTGGATGATTGACTTTTGATTTTCAATATAAACACTAATTTAGGAATCAGTCTTCAGTTATGTGTTCACTGGAATACTTGAAATTACATCAGGAGGCTGGTCCGTGAGCGAGCAGGACGCATCAGCCAGCGACGACAGGGATCACCCAGTATCAAGGCAGCCCCGGCTAAGAAGTAAAAATTTCACTGGTCCATATAATAGATGTTAAATAATCTTAAGGTAATGCAATAGTGTAAGCTTCCTTATTTTATCACTCAGGAGACTGTGGCCTTCTCAGGACTGTACCTTGGTCGGCGTCCGATACCAGCAGAGCAGTGGTATCCACTGTTTCTTCTGATTGATGAACAGGAACGCGATTATGGAGAGGCAAATCACGGTGGGCACCACAACGGAGACAACAGAGTCGAGGGACGAGTCCTCGCCAGGGTGCGGCCTGTGGCTGTCTCTGTAATCTACCTGGAGGTGACCCATATCTAGGAGAAAACAAATTCCAACCATTTATTATATAAACCAGAACTGTGAAGGATTATTTAAATTACATGGCAGCTACGTTCTATCACTTCCCAGTACTCTTGAGACTAAACATGCGATTAAAGGTCCATCCAAAGAGCTTTCAGGTAAAGGTAAAGTGCTCAGGGGCGGATTAAAAGAAAAAAAGCAGAAAAAGCATGTTAGTAATTGGGCAGGATGATAATGGCTCTAGCTAATCAAGAAAATAAAAGTGCCTAAAATTAGAAACTTAAAAATATTTTGACCAATATTAGAATTCTGGTTACAGGTAACACAGATGGTCTAAAGCTTTGAAGCAGAAAATCAGCTCCTTGCTTCCTAGTAAACAGACTAAGATAAACTTTCTTCTCATTGGCCCATCAGCAAGGATTAATTACAACCAAAATAAAACCAGCACCAAAAGCTTACACTTTCAGTTCTTTCTGGTTTGCTTAGTTCTAAGCGACAATGCTGTAATTCACAAAAATCTGTTGAAAAACTCACTATATTTCTATTTTCCTGACTCAATTAACTGTACTTGTATAGGGGGCACTTAATTGTGCTCTATGCCTGAGGATTTGTTCTTTTAAAATAACATTCTTCCAGTGAATGCTCCCATCAGGGTTAACGTTAAAGGTGACTTTATCAAGTTTCATTTTTATTTTTGTTTCCAAAATACTATGCTAGTCAGGTATTCTAGGTGTGTCAAAGACCAGTTTAATAAAGATCTAGGACACAGACAACGGGAATTACTCTTCAACTGTTCTGGAAGTGCAGCTCATGAAATAATGCAGCTCTGAGACATCAGGACACTCTGGGCTGGGGACAGAGCTCAGCAGCATAAGTGCCTGCCTGGCAAGTGGAAAAAAAGATTCTCTTAGTTGACAACTCAGGTTTTCGGTGATCTGCTTGTGTGTCTGCTCTGGGGTGGGGTGGGGTGGGCTGGGGGCCGAAGGAAAGGGAAGAGAACTGGCCTCCTCATTTTAGCCAGCGTAGACATTAACACTTTCTAGGAAGGGGAGAAAAAGAATTATTGGCATCAAGAAAAATGTCACAGATACAAGCAGCACTATTAATGCATTCACTATTAATGAATTTTTATAGCCTTGTATTCCGCGTGATACAAGGTGTGGCTTTAGGAATACGTCTTACAAGAAGATTAAAAAGTAAATTAAGGAAAATCACAAGGTGACGGGAAAATGAAGCTGAAACGGAAGTTTCTCTACAAAACTTGGTCTTTCTGCTCTGCTTTGATGCCAAGAGCAAGCCACAGCTAGCTTCAAGCTTTCCAGCAGCCAAAGCAAAAAACAGAAGCAGCTATCACCAGTAAGTGCACAGCCTCTTTCTGGTTAAGTCAGTGTGTGCGAGGGGCACATATTGACACCAAAGTTAGCTCCTCTTCAAGGACTCGAATGGGAGTATGTGCAGAGGCCTCCAGGCACCACACCACGCTGGGCTGCGCCCACATCTCCTGCAGGACCAGGCCTGCAGCAGGCACTGACACTCAGAGGCTGGCTGACTGTAAGCCTAATGGGAATGCACATTTTATTCAGGCAGAGCAGTGACATAAGGAGCTAAAATCTGGGTCCAGGAATTTGGCTCTCTGGTCATCTAGCCTGATCCAAGCATAACATCTAAAATATCTACAGTAACACACCATTTGTCTCTCAAGCAATGAGTACTGCTTCTCCCTAAAGAAATACAAGGACGCTACAGGAATCATTTGAAAATGCATTTGGTGTCGACAGGAGGCAACATTGAGCTGTGGTTCAGAGCAAGTTCACACTGTGTTCTTTTTGGGAAGGCAGTGCTGAAAGGAACTCCGCTTAACTACTTAGCTATCCAGAAACAAACTAACCTCTTCACTGTATAGCACTGAAAGGACTAAAGAAGGAAGCCACAGCATAAACCTGGTGACTGGAAAATTCAACACATGTAATAAACTGAACTCTCCTGGAGTGCAAACCACCCAGAAGGAGAGGGAGATCGAATGCATTCGTGCTCAGTGCAGAGCCCACAGGGACAGTGAATAATTCACTACTACCCTGCTCGCAAAGTCTGTTCATGTGCAGACTTTTGAGAAACAGCTTAGAAACTCCACGCCAGCCACTGACGACTAGGAACATATTTCTTTCCATCATGGCCAAGTCTCTGAGCATGAATGGTCAGGAAATTTATCCAGTTACTTGCTGACTTATTTTAGCAGTGTTTGGTATTTAATATGTTCCAGTTAAGCAAGTCTTCCCTGTAGCAGTTATGTGAACTCACTTGGGCAAGCCACTGAAAATTCACAGGAAATTTTAAAAATTAGGAGAAAACAAAATAGTCATGCACAAGACTAGAAAATTTCAGTGACTTCAATGCTTACCTCTAGGGAGATGGATGATGTCATTTTCACTAGGTGTGGGCCACACGGGGACCTCGAGGTCAATCTCTCCGTGGTAATTCTTCTTCTCAATGGGTATGTTAGTTGGCTCTGGAACATACATTTCTAAAAGAAGAAAGCAGTTTTCGTAAGAGATGACGGAGAGGCTGCCTTTCTGTTGGCTTTTCTATCCCTGATACAAATGGAACGCCCAGTACAGTGCTGTGCTTTTCTGCAATCCCCTCACTAAGGCTAGAGTCACCAGCCCAGCAGCGGTGGGACGCATTTCTTACAATAAAAAGCGTGAGAAGTTTCCTACCTCATCGCTTCTTCGTGTCAAGTCATGGGGTGTTGGCCCTGTGGTTTTACATAAACTGATAAGGGCTGACTAAAACAGAGTAATTTCCTTGGGACTGCTAAGTATTGTTCTTTAATAACTATGACTCTTTAATTCATTAAGTATTCAATCACTTCCGTAAAATTTCAGTGGCATGTGACACAGGTACCCTCTGATGTCTCCCACTGAGGGGCCGCATGGAGACGGACCTCCTGAGGCGTGGCCCACACTATACTTCATCTGGCTTACAACTGGTCAACAGTTTAATGAAAAGAATTAATTTTTAACCTGTTTTTAAAATGTCACAATAAAAGCCTGCACCACTCATGTACTTCCTTTTGATCAGATCCATTCCCTAGTAAGTGATTTTTATGAAGATACTGGTCAACATTAATAATCCTAAATGCTCACTATAACCCAAAGACTGAAATAAATACATAAATGTAAATTAAACAGGGCTTATAGTCCTCTCTATTTGATTATTTTCAATCCCAACGCTGTTGGGCCTTCAACAAAGTGACAGAGGAGAGGAGGGGACTTGCTAAGCTGCTAATGTGGGCTAAGGAAGCACCCAGCTGGAGAACCACTCTGAAAGGCTAAAAGAAAGCACGAAGGCTCTGCGCCAGCAAGTGGTGCAGCTGGGCGCCAGCGTACAGCCTTCCACTCTTCTGGGATTCCAAAGCTCAAGTTGCCTTGCTTTATCCAAGAATAAAGCCACTTGGGCCTTAGTCCTCTAATTTCTTACTTAAGCACCTTTAAACTTAAAAGGCTTTTAATTTCAAAAAGTTCAGTGGGTCCCTACAAGCTCCAGAATTAGAAATAGAACACACTAAAAATGTCATTTGCAGGAACAGGACTGAATACGAATGAGTGATTCTCAAGACACCAGGTGTGGCGGCAGACACAGTACTGTAATCCCAGCACTTGGGCTGAGGCAGGAGGATGACTGCCTGGAGTTTGAGGCCAGCCTGGGCTACCTAATGAAGTCAAGGCCAGCCTCACCTATGCAGTGAGGCCCTGTCTCAAAAATTTTTTTCATTAGAATCATCCAAACATCTTACAAACTGTACGATTCTCCTAGGTCCTGGTTCGGTGGGTCTGGGCTGTGTGGTGATAGAGGGATGGTCGCTGTCTACCCATTAAAGTCAGACAGGTGGGCACCTGTGTGACATCTTTCCGTGTGCAGTGTCCTTCAGTCCCTGCCTGCCCTGCGTAGTGTGGACAGTAGGGCCTTCCTATTCCAGCAGGACCCACACAGCTGGCCCCGGGGCTGGAATGAGAGGGACAGGTGATCTGTTCCATCAGCGCTGTGGCTTCTGACAGCCATACAGCAAAGGTCCGCAGAGGATCCGAAGCTGGGGCCAACCTACGGCTGCCTTTGGGCTCTTTCTGGAGAGAGTAGAAAAGCAGCTTTGGAACTGCCAGGCCTGGTACGTCCCCGCCTCAGGGGAGGTTTCAGGTAAAAATATTACTTACCCAGGGGTAATTTTTGTTCCCACAGGGGCTTTGAAAGGCTCTATCTAGTTGGCAAAGGCAGGGAACATTAGGAGGATGGGTCTAGGATAAAAGAGAATGTCCCCAGTGTTGATTAGGCTGCCAGTGTTCTACAAAGGATTCCTAGTTCTTCCTGTGAGGCAGACACTGGCCTGGGCATGGAGGAGTCAGCTCCCAGCAATCTCAGTCCTTGCTGAATCCCAGGCGCGCCCAGACGTCCACTTCTCCCTGCCCAGTAGCTTGCCCAATCCCCGTCCTCTGTGCCAGCTCGGGCACTAAACTCAGTTCAGCTCTGATTAAAACTCACTCACATCTCCTTCTTTCTCATAAAATACAGCTCCAGTTTAGAGCCCTCAAGTGAATGCATGCGTGTGTGTGCGCGCGCATGTGTGTAGTGCCATTTCCTTTTAATTTGAACATAAGAGAAAAGCTGCCTCTAAGCAGTTTTGCCAAGAAAAAAAGAAGATAAAGCTATCAGCAAAAAGAAGGGAAATGCTGTTTCTATGCCTGCATTCAGCCCAGACTCTACCACACAGCCCCGGCCATCCCTAGCAGCACCTTCTTAGCTGTTCCTGTTGCAGATGGACACAAAACTCCCTCCACCGCCCCACAGAGATCAGGGCCACTGGCTGCAAGCAAAGATCACGCCTATAGTCCTAGCTGATTCAAACTTCAGTAGAGCTGAAGATAACTCACTGATTAAATACTTCATTTTCAGAGGTATATGGTCATTTTTAGAATCACCTTCCTTAAACTGTCCTTTTTTGGAATCTAGGGCAGGCAGCTTGAGGCTCACAGACTGAGGACACTGCTTCTTTGGGAGGTGGCTGCGAAAGTGGCTGAGGACCCAGCGTGTCCCAGATCTGCTACCTAGAACTAGCTGCACGACTTTGCTCTGTCTGGGGTCAAAGCAAGGGTGTCACTGGCTGGAGAGATGAGTGCCCCAGCGCTGTCGCTCTATGCATCCTCCTAGCACCTCTGGGAGAGGCCTGTGCCATGCAGATGAGGAGAGGCCGACAGCTCTGGTGACGAGCTGACTGAGGTCACACCGTGAGCTGCCCAAGCGAGCGACTAGAATCCATTGACTCCATCAGCACAGCATGGCAAAGCCTGATGGCTAGCTCTGCTGAGTGATGGGATGGGGAAGTGATTCATCTACCACGTAGCAGAAAGGAGAGTTAATCAACAGAAATTAAGTTCTGGTTCAACAATAAATCCTAAGTCACTGGAGAAATCCTGAGTGATGAACAAAGATGTTAAAAATTTCTGTCTTATTAAAGGCACAAACCAAAGAGATCGAAACTTTGTTCCTATACCCCTGTCTGAATTTGGGTCCCTGAACCATCCACAGTGCGTCTCACAGCTGTCCTGGCTTCTCGTGCGCCTGTCCCCACAGCACACCATCCTGCCCATCACCACTAAGTACACCTCAAAAACAAAACAAGATTTCCCACTCCTACAAAGGACAGAATATAGCTGCTCTTCATTTGACAATCAAGTCATTAATTATGCTGACCCATGCTGGTCTTTTCTGTCCTTACCTCCTGCTTCCTAGAATTTGCAACTCCAGGGGCACTGGCTGTGCCCTCTTCCATCTCGAGATCTTTGGCAGACTCCCTTCTTAGCTCCAACAAAGAGTGCAAGAATCTTTCAAGACCTAGTGCAAATCCTTTCTCTGTGAAACCCTTTAAGGTCATCACTCACCCTTAGTGTAAAATCCTAAGCTTGAATTTGGTCTGTACCCACGGTCTGTATCGGAATTATACAACCATCTCTAAACTGCCCCATCCATTCTCTTTTGGAATACTGCCACCTCTATGGTCAAGATGATTAGGACAAACTTTTGCTTTTGTCCAAATTTCAGAGAATGGGCAGGTGAGAAGGGATTGGCAAACGAACAAACAACAACAACAAAAAAACAAAACAAAAAACTCTAAGAAGGAGCACCAGGAATAAGGGCAGCAGATGAGAAAGCAGGCAATGATGAAGAAAGCCGAGAGAGCTCTGGGTGGCGAGAAGCAAACGGGTGCACCAGAAATTGCTGTTGTCCACATCAAGATGCTAAGTGGAAACGAACTGTTTTGTACTTAGCACTGTTCTTTGTAGGGGGCAAATGGACATTTTCAGAACTGTTCAAACAAGGACAGTCTGTACAACACTAAGGAAGGCCAACGTGCGCACTGCTGTACAGCATCAAGTGTGTTTCTACACTGGCCGGAGAAGCCCACGTTACAGTCCTGAGCAGAGCAAGACTCTACATGCTGCTGCCAGACGACCAGAGAACTGAGGTGAAGATGGAAAGCTTTCTGATGTATTCAGGACCTTCCTCAATGGGACCTAAGACTGCCTAGGAGGTCTCAGGCTTTAGGGGACCAGCTCAGAGGCTGCCCAGGGAGGGCACAACTCCTGTGCTTCTGGGATCAGGAGCAGGGTCAGGAGATTCAAAAACTAGGAGGCCCAGGTAAGAGCATCTGGGCCCTGGGTGGAAACTAAGACACTGGATGATGCGGGCAGCGTGAACAATGGAATTTTGGGAGAGACAGGCACGAGGTCTATGACAGCCAGCTGGGGGCATTCGCTGGTTACGCTCCATGTGGAAGAGATGAAAAGGTCACCCGAAGACTTGGCAGCAGACTGCAAGTGATGGTAGGGTTAAAGGCTAGAACTGATGAACTGAAAAAAGAATGAACCAGAGCCGCATTCTTTAAATGCCAGCCTTCCACGTGGGGTCCGATACACATTCAATGTCATAAGGGCTCTCGAGCATATTCTGAGCGTGGGATCTCTGTGATGGGCCAGGCTGACACAGCCCTGAAATCACTACTCTGATGGGGAAGTGTCACTGATGTGGCAGTTATACCTGTATGGCTCCACTGCCAGGAAAGGTTAAGAAAACCTACGTCAGAAGAACCCCAGCAATTCTGACCTGGAGCCTGCATCAGCCCTCGCCTGGGTGGTCAGTGACCCTGCCTGTTTGTAAGGGGGCCCACACTCCCTAGGTCATAGGAGCTCATGGCTGGGGAGCAGGTTCTGGGTCAGAAATCAGCACTGCAGCCCGACAACGGAAGGATGGTGGCTGGATACCTGGGCACATCGGGCAGCAACTGCCCTCCACATTGATGGGTTCCACGCAGGGCAGAGGTGGGCAGCTGACGGTCGAGCAGAGGGTCTGGCCCTGCAGGCAATAGCAGTGTGTGCAGCTGTCGATGTCCCAGCGTTCTTCATCGGCATAGGCCTTCCCACCGAAGTGACATACTGCTTTCTTGGGAATTGTGTCCTCTAGTGGAAAGAACAGCACAAGGTGGAGTTGTGGGGGGGCCCACACAATATATTATGACACACAGACATAAGGAGGGACAGCGCTGTACAGTCAAACTATATTTTAAAAAAATTCAGTGAGTCGCCTATTTTCCCAGTCCCTTGCTGCAGTTCTGCCAGAAGGCCTTCAGAACATGTGGCCTGAGGTTGATCGAAGGCCACACAGCTTGACACTGGGCGGTAACTGCAACAACCTGCTGGGCTCCATACCTCTCGGAGGTGACAGGTACGCAGACCCAGAGGAAAGACGCACTGGAGGGCATTTCAGCCACAGGTGGGCCCCAGTGAGCCTTGCTAGTCTCTCTCTTGATAAATGGTGCAAGGAAAGGTGAAGAACGACGGCGGTAACACCACACAGGACTGGTGGGCTTCCTCTGCCACCCTTGGGGAGCCTGTGCTGCACTAACTGTTCCTTCATTTTTCAGAAACGCTGTGTGGATTTCTCTCTCACCAACAAAAACATTTCACTTCAGAAACAAGCTTATTTGATCTCAATCTAATTTTTGGGGGGTGGTAGTGGGAAGGACTGTGGTTCTTAGGAACAAAATGTTTCTGAAGCAGTACTGTGATAGCTGACAATTTTTTTCTCTCCTCCCCTTTGCCATCCTCAATTTTGCTCTTAGTCAACCTTTTCTTTGAAAGTTCTTTTCTCCTATTAACTTATTTACTGCTGGTCCTTTCCTTCTATAGGTCAAGAATGGTGGTTGTGAGTGAGCCCAAGTGAGCCCATGTGACGAGCAGCCAGGCAGGGATGGGGCAAATCTGTGGAGAAATATGAGCGCTTCAGGCCAGTAATTAGATGACGCCTACTACACTGGGGAAACTTTATGTTCAGATTCCAAAGGCAGCTCCACTCACCACTGGCCACTAGTAAATGAAAAACTACGCAGGAATCTGAAAGGAAAGCTCCTTAGGAAAGGAGTGGTCCCCAGGGCCCAGTGTTCTTCCTGGAAGTCAGCTAGGAAGCTCTGAGCAGGGAAACGGAGAGAACTCAGGGTGTCTGAGCACAGGAAGTGAGTTACATCAAGAGTTAAAATTTTCAACATTTTCTACCATTTGTCCTACTGTTGCTTAAGGTTCAACAAGGAATACTGAGTAATTATGGTAAGTTCTAGTTATTATCAGAACTTTCTAATAGCTATTAATATCTATTTGTTTTTTAAATGTATTTGGTTGTTACAAGGTCTCACTACGCAGCTCGGACTCGTGGTGATCCTTGTTTTCAGCCTCCCCAGTCCTGGGATTACAGGTGTGCACCACCACACCTGGACTCTGCAGCTGGCTCAGCCTGCCCTGGGGGCGGGGCTGGTGCAGCATGTGCTGCCAGGATTGAACCTAGGTCCCTAGCTTGCCTAAGCTTGCCCAAGCAGGCACTTTAGTCCATTGAGCTATCTTGCCAGCCCCTAATATCTATTTAAAAAGGACTTTACTGTGTTTGTATATGTTCCATAGAAAATATTCTGGCACACTGACTATTAGGTTAAAACCAAATTTGGGGGCTTTCAAATCAAACGCATGACTCAAGTTTGTACCAACAGGGAATCTTTAAAGGAAGTGACTTCAAGATACATAAAATGTACCTGTCCAACTGGCTAAGCAGAGCCTAATTCAAATAGAATTCTAACCTTCAATCGATCTTTCACCAAGCACACTAATTTTGGCCATCAAATTTAGTCTATCAGGTAACAAATGCATAATGAAAGAGAGCATTTCCTTCATAAAGCAATAGTACTGAATCTGTCTTACATGAACCTTGTACTAGCTGATGATGGACCAACATCACTGACTAAAATGTGAGCAACTAACCGTGTTACTCTGTGAGGAAATTATGAGAGAGAAGGTGACGTTCCTTATCACACCTTATCCATCACTCTCTGCCTCTTTTATCAGTGCTGCTCTTGGACGCTGACAGAGGCACCCACACAGGCAGGTAAGGACTCGACAAAGAGGTCTGATGCAAGGCCAGCTACTGCTGGTCTATATTTTCTTCAGATCTCAGTAAGAGAGTTAATGCTACTAATGTTTATAAGATCAAAATTATTTAAAATTAGGTTAAGATGTCAAAAGGATAATTATATGCTTAACATTAGAACACCATTTGTACAAAAATCAATGATGAAGAAGGCAATTCCTTGCCTTGGAGGCCAACATGGTGGTGGTGGAGATGGGCCTGGGCATTCCTGACCAAAGTGAATGACAACTTGAAGGGCAATATGACATTCCTTTGGTCAAGTAACAACTCCACTTGTAGTAATCTAGCCCAAGGAAAAGGTCTGAAAGAAAAGTTGTTTATGGAGATGTCATTCCAGTATTATTTATGATAGCAAGAAGTTAGAGGGCAAACCTGTGCCCAACAATAAGAGAATTCTGAGATGACTCAGGATATAGCTGCCTGATAGAATACTATGCTGTTACATGCAGTCTGAAGGCAACCACGTAAGGAGAACAAATACAAACTCTAGAAAGGAAAGAAAATCCTAACAGTGACTGTTAGATAAGAATTAACAATGAAACAAGCTACTCTTGATAACAAGTTGCAAACATCTAAAGCAGAAATCTCACACACTGATGTACTCTTCTCCCCTACCCCTGGCCACCCACATTAGGAGAACAGGGAAGGGAAAACCTCAGACTGAACTTGGTTCTAATAAACCCGTCCATGTGATGTGGTGCTGCTTGAAGGATTCCAACGCACTTAGAAGAATTTCAGTAGCCTGCAAGAAAACTCAGCCACACAGCAGTGCCAAAGATCAAATGCTCAGGTACAGCTTAACAGCGTCTCTGCAAACACTCATGTGGTAATTGTACGAGATCACTCTCTAAAAGCACATCTATAAGGTGATAGGAGAAAGAGTACCTACTCTGAATGCTTAGGAGGCGAGAGTGTGAGAATGCTGACCACGTATTATGTGAAGTCAATGTTTTTCATTCTGTCACCAAAGTAGTACCTTACTAAGGTCCATGAAGGTTAAATATGCAAAGCAGCAGCATGGCGAGCACGAATGCAGTGGACGCTGTCACCCTGGAGGTCCCACCGAGACCCACGGTGCCCAGCTGCTCACAGGAAGAGGTTCCTGGAGCCATCAGGACCCTTCGCTGGCCGCGTGAAGCTATTTTCTTGCGAGGGGTGGGCTGACTGCTAAGGACCTACCTGGTTTCTAGGCTTTTCTCCCAACTTTCGTGTTTCACTCAAGCTCTCCTCCTGACTGATTACCTCGGCAGCATCTCACCTCCACTTCAGTTCACTTGCCATGAAGTTCGTTCACACTTGAGGTCGGGTGTAAAAGACTGGCAGTATCAGATGAGCAGAACCCAGAGATCAATGCCAGTCCTCTGCCAGCAGGCAGCACTGGCAGGAACCTTCTTATGTGGCTCCAGTGTGCCTGGGCTTGTCTAGAAAAACATTTTGGCTAATCACAACTTTCAGGACCCCTAGAAGGTCCGGCTGGTATTAGTGTCTGAAGCGAGTGAGTCAACATGAGCAGCGTTTGTACTGTAGCAGGGTGGCAGGGACCCCAAACGTACCAGTCACGAATTCATGGTGAGCCTGGCTTCAGAGGCTGCAACGGAGAAATGCCTGACATCGCCTTTAATCACTCTGAATCATAACACATCTCAACAACTGCAAATGTTTCTTCACATGTGGCATAAAACCCAGATACAGCTTGTCCCCCTGAGACATGGGTTGCTCGGTGCTCTACTAAAGTTTTGTACAAATAATAGAAGACTCTTGGTTTTTTTTAGAAAAGCCCTGGCTAATCTTTACTAAGGTAGCTGCCACCTGGTCCAGATTAGATTAGATTTTAGTCAGTGAGGCTTCATAGGTAATTCTGCTTTTGAGTATATTTCCTAGGAAAGGCCAAGGACTAGAACAAAGGCTTCAAAGGGGAAACTTCAGCTGACTGAGGTCCGAAGGTCCCCATTTCTTTCATGCTTACAGGTACACTGACTTCTTCCAGGAGACATCTGGGTTAATCTGAGAAAGCTGTGCTGGAAGGTTTTAGAGACTTTACAGAGCAAGGAGACATGAGGACAAGTCTAAGCCATCTGAAGTTCTGTGTACTAAAGTAATATAGTCACTGAGGTCTTTTGGGGAACAACATAGTCTAATAAAGAATATGTTAAAGTACAAGTGTTTTCAGTATTCAGAAAGACTGAAATAAGATTAAGGATAGTCTTACACAAGTATGCAGCCATCAACTGGGTTGAGGCATTTAATTCTAACCAGCACATTACTGTTTCCATGCATTTGCTTAAGCTGACAATGACATAAGTTCTATTCTTTAGCACCTAGTAGTCTTATAACTTCCACTTGAATGCCTGCTGTGTATCAAGACCTATGTGAAGCATTTTTAAATAAGTCAATTGCATGTGCGCTCCATAACCCAAGGCACGGGGTGCTGTTCTAATTCCACAGAAATGTGAGGAACGCAGCAGTTATGTCACTTGCCCGGGAAGTGAGTTGAGGACAGGAGCCTGAGGGCACCTTCTGCCCACAGCCACGCAGTGCGGTGACCTGAGAGGGCTGTTTCCTGGCAGGCACTGGGGCCACAGAAACAGAAGTGGCTATGACTACTGGACCGGGGCATGGGTACCGCTCCTTTCACCTGACAGCGTGTAGACGGCAGGCACAGTGCTGCCAAGGAGTGGAGACAGCAGTGTGTTACTCAGCCTTCACGCTCTTCCTTGAAACAGTCTCCACCGACATGGGTCTCCCCACCCTTCTCTCACAGGAAAAGGACTTGAGCGGAATGTTCCAAGGAAAGCATGAGGTATGACACTAATATAATAAAGTTTATTTTTAAAACAAACACATCAGGAGTAATATCTGCAAACAAACACGCTCTCTCATTCTTGCAGTCGGCTATACACGCATTCCAATGGCAACGCCCTTGCTTTGTACGGCTTTGGAATTTTCTTTTGCAAAGGCATCCAGAGCCAGTTCCCCCCCGCCCCTTTGA